GGAGTGGGGGAGGGGTTTCCGGAGTTCACTCTTGGACTTTTCCTCTGCCCCTGCCAATTTCTCTTTCTTTCTCTGGGTCTCTGCCTCTCTGTCTCTGTGGCTCTTTGTCTTTTTCTGTGTCTCCTGTTAGCTTGTGTTTCTGGCATCTCCGTTTCTGTTTGTGGCACACTGTCTCTGTCTCTCCTTTTGTCTGACTTTCGCACCTTTGTCACTCCGTTTGTTGCTCAGTGTCACCGACTCAGTTTCTCTTTCTCTCCTCCTCCCTCTGTCTCCGCACGCCTGGGCTCCCGCTTACACCTGCCTGCACCTTCCCCGCCGGGAGGGGAACTTCGCGCCCTTCCCACCCTCGCATAGGCTGGGTCTCCGCCAGCCCCAGGTGTTCTCTAGGCACCTGCGTCTGCTGTCCCGCCAGCCCGGGCCGCCCTTGAGGCGGGGAGGTGTCCCTTCCGGGGCCGCGGCTCTGGGTGGGCTGGGTCCGGCGTGGAATTAGGTCAGGAGAGCACTGGTTGCATAAGGGCCGCGAGCAGCCCGGGCCGGGCGGCCCCTCCTTCGCGCAGGCGGGCGGGATTGTGTAACGGCTGAGGTAACCAAAGTGGGCCACGCTCGCCTCGGAAACCGTCCCGCGAGCATGGGGTTTTTTTGATAATCCTCACCTGAAGGTATTTTCTCAATTGATTTTTTTTTGAGAGAGAGAGTGGAAGGGAGGGGGGGGGGGGGGGGGGGGGGGAGGGAGAGAAAGAGCGCTCGTGCCCTGCTGCCCTGTGACTCATTGTCACCGCTTCCTATCACAGGATCCGCGTCTGAAATAGATGCCCCCCCCCCTTTCCAGCCTGCCGCCTGCGTCCTGGCCTGGAAACTGCTCAGGGATTCCGGGGGCTGTGGGCTAGCTGAGAAGGGGACACGCCTCTGTCCCGCTCTCTCGTGCTGCCTGGAGACGGATGGGTGGGCTTTGTGGGTTCAAGGACAAGGTGGGCAGCCCCATGCCTGTGGCCCTACTAGGGCTCCGGAGTTCCCGCAGGGAGAGGCTTCCCCAACCCTCCTCTCCCCGCACCTGAACCCAGGAAGTGGCCTCTGAGCCACTGGCTGCTGTTGCCCAGTTGGGGCAGGCTGCCAGGAGCTCTGCTGGTGGGGCACGGTGTCTGGCGAAGCGTGAGGGGAGGAAAGAGGCAGCAGGGCTGGGCAGACCGGACTCTGGGACTCGATGGGTGGAGGAGGGGCTGGGCTGGAGTCTCCCTGTGTGGAGCCTAAACCAGAACTGGCAACAGGTATTGGGAATAGGGGAGGAACTACGGTAGATTGGGAAAGACTGGCACCTGAGGGAGATGGGGACTCCCTCCACACACACACCCTGTGCTCACACAAACACTGAGCTGCCACTGGGCTGGCATGTGCTGCAGAAAAGAAGGGACAGAGAAGACTTCTTTAAACTGTTTGCTAATGTCTTAAGAGCAAGTAATGGGCACCCACACAAACCCTTAGCACATCCCTGAGGGAAAAACCAACAAAGCCTGTTCCCGGGGGAAGAGCAGGGCAATATGAAGGCAACAGGTGCAGGCCACTTCAGCCCAGATCTCCAAGGAAGGTTCCATTCCTTCCGTGCATCCTGGGAGGGCCAGTTTCCCCTGGGGTTTTTCCTTGCGCGGTCAGAGTGGTCAGAGCAGTCAGGGTGAAAATGTCAAGACCACTTCACCCTTCTAGGAGGAAAGGGGCCTCTCCAACAAAGAATATCTTTGTACCGAAAGATGGCCACGCTCTCTTCCTCATTGTTCTAAATACTGTACCGCCCTTCAGAAAAAAAAAAGAAACCTGCCCCTCACTCCAGATGCAAGGTTTGGACAGTTAACAAGTCTGACTAGCTAGCTGTGTGACTTTCAGAAGATCCCTTCGCCTCTCTGGGCTTGATTTTCCTCATCTGAAGAATGGGTTGGTTGAACCAGATGATTTCTAAAGGCCTACCCAGCCCTGACATCTAGTGATTCAGAGTGTTGGTGAGAACCAATCTCAATTTATTCTCAGAAGCCTTGTCCAGGTTCATTCACATTTGGCCATCTATAATGTGAGGAAGGAGCCTTGCAAATACATTTCCATTTTCTTAGAGAAACTTCATATGTGCTGGGTTTCTAGACACGTGTTGCTCTTGCTACCAGAAGACTAACTTGAGCTTGTCTTCCTGGTGGCCATGATGGGGGTCACATCTGGCCAGCTCCCACTCCCCACTTCCTGGCCTGTTTCCTTGTGGGTGATACCTCAGTCAGAAGCCAGGCTGTCAGTTGCTAACCCCATATAGCTACGAAGCAGGGTGCCAGAGTTTTCTCCATGTCAAAGTCACTGAAGCACCCCTGACACCACAGGCCCTCTAAGGATCTGCTTAAGAGAGGGGCAAAAATCCCTTCTTTACAGCTGGGGCATCTCAGACCCACAGTGGCTGCAGGGGAGTGTGGTTGGCAGGACAACATTAGGGCTAGAAATTGAGCATGACCCTTTGGGTCCCCAGGGGAAAAGTCTTAGAAAACTTTCCATCTGCTCAAGATCCATCCTCATACAGGATTTACTTGTTTCTGCTGGGAGCCATTAATGAGGGTTTGCTTTTTTTCTCATTTTGGCAGCACCAAATGACCATTTACTTTATAGCAACCGGTCACAAATTCATTTCACCTTGGAGTCGCATGAGGATGCACTGCATGATGCAGAAATAGCATGTAAGCTCCGCCCAATGGGCTTTAAGGTGAGTGTCGGATGGGAAGCATGGGAAGGGGTTATGCTATAGAAGGAATTGGGCAGAAGGGCCGCCCTTGGGGGTATGGGGCACTAGAGCTCAAGCAGACCTGGGAGAAGGCTTTGCAAAGGAGTGGGTCCTTTGACAAAGGGTTACTTAGGGGTCTTTAAGGGAACTGGATTCTTCCCCAATTTGATCCTCCATTGATGACCTGCATAGCAGCCTGGGCTCTGTGACTCCAGAACATAGACTTGAGAGCCTGATTACCTGAGTTTATGTCCCAGCTCTTCTACTTTTATCATCTGTGTGACTTTGGGCAAATTTACTTAGCCTCCCTGTGCTTTATATTCTTATCTATAAAATGGGGATATTCAAAGTTCCTACTTAGCAGGTTTGTCGTAGGAATTACATAAGGTAAAACATGTAAGATGCTTAGAACAATGCCTGGCACATAGCGTAAGTGTTTGCTATCATTATCACCATTATTTTTCAGGCACAACAGAAAGAGGAGGGTAAGACAAGCATTGCTGGCTGGTTGTGCCATTCTGAGTCTTTAATATAGTCAGTCAGCCTGCCAGTATCCACAAACATCTAGGTCACATGGAGGGGTGGGGAGAAAGACAGGCTAGGCATCTCAGGATGCCAGGATGCAAAGTGTCACTTTTTTGCATCTCTGGCCTCAGGACTGGCCCTTAGCCACATGTCAATATATTTGGTTTAGAAGATTAGATTTGAGCCTGGGCTTCACTACTTGCCAGCACAGTGACCATGGAGAAATTGCTTCACTCTCTGGACCCCAAGTGTCCTTGTTTGCAAAATGAAACTATTGCTATCTGTCCTGATCACCTCACAGGGATGCAGTGAGGGTCACAGGTGATCATGGCCTAAGGGCCATTCCATGAACTATAATACTTGCTGGGTCTTTGCGTAGTACTCGCTCTACACCACCCCAGGATGCCTTCCTTAGACACCCAACTTACCCAAGTCCAGGTCTCATGAATTTCATGAGGTGAGATGTGTTCAGAATCCAGAAGGTTTCCAATTCCAGAAAGACCTTATATGAAGTAATACCCTTACTGAGTTTTAGACAGTGCCCCATAATCAGACATTAATATTTCTGCAGTGCGTTACATGAAAATTCACACTAAGTGGGATAAAGAATATAATACACTTTATATCATTTTAGGTCAGGTTGTGCCACCTCATGACTTCTGATGTCAGGCTTATGAAAATATCAGATTATCAGAATTTTTAAAAAAATCTGGTGACTTCAGATAAAGCATTGTGGACCCGCACACTGGGCCATTGATGTCGAAGTGAATCTCGTGTTCTTTCATGAGAAGGTGTTCATGGGTGATGATGGATTAGTATGTTCTTTTTCCCAAGGAACACATTTACAGTTTACTAATGGTCACCAGTGTCTTAACCCAAAAGAGCTCCAATGAGAGCATTTCAGTCCTTGTAGCAGTGCAGGGCAGGGAGCTGCCTGGGGGTAGGAGGACTTCTCTTGCAACTTTTTCTGCTCCCATCCTTAACCTAAAGCCTAAGAGTGGGGCCTTGATAGTGCAATGGGAAACGGGGCTGAGTAAGCAGTATACCCTTTTGGATGAAATGGGAAATGTGACTTCCCCCAAAAAGGGAAGAGTTGATGGGAGTATTAAGCAGGAATTTCAGTTCCCCACAGGTAAGTGGAGAGGCTTACCTCTCTGTCCCCTGGTTAGCTCTCTGAAGGGCAGTCTGCCTTGTGGGGAAGAACTTTCTGGGGTTCCTAGACCACAGTTCTAGTTCCAGCTTTGCCATCGAGGTCTTAGAGAGGTCACAACCCTTCCCTTGGGTCTCTCTTGAAGAATGATCAGTAAGTGTAGGTGGTCACTCAAGCCAGTAATGTGGACCAGGCCTCTGCTCGACTGACTAGTTAGTAGGAAGGCATATCTGGACGGGTCCTGGTTAGTATGTGTTCAAATGGGCATTCTTGCTACTTGGTGATCCCTCTAATACAATGGTGGGGCAGCAGGAGGTAGTACTGCCCAGTGGTTAAGAATTTGGACTTTGGTATCAGTCAGTCCCAGGCTGAAACCCTGACTGCAAAATTTATCAGCTGTGTTACTTTGGGCAAGTCACTTTCCTGGGTCTTTTGTTTTCTTTAACATGGGCTTCAGAACAGTTGCCTGCATGATAGGGCTGTGCATAAGATAATCCTTGGAAATGCTTCAGGCAGTAGTGAATACCCATGAAGTTAGGGAGTATTAAGAATAGTGTCAGGAGGGTGAATAAGAGTGGGATTGAATGCTAACGTTTTCTTCCAGGCACACTTCAGAAAGGCGCAAGCCTTGGCCACCCTAGGCAAGGTGGAGGAAGCACTAAGAGAGTTTCTATACTGCGTTTCACTGGATGGAAAGAGCAGGAGAGCAAGATCTGAAGCCCAAAGGGTGAGTTGAGATGACATCAGGTCCAGCTGCCCAATGGGCTCCCACCTCACTGTCTTCTCCAGGGGTCTTGAATGGGTGGCTCCCTGGGTTAAGGGGACAAGAGGGAGACACAAGTTCTAATTGATTGCCCCAAAATCACCGTCCTCTTGGTGTGTACAATCAGAGTGAGCAGTTGCTACATTTCTGTAGGAGCCTATGAAGAATGTTCTCGCTTCTTTCACTCAGGGTCTGGGTTGTCAATGGGGAAAAAACCAAAAGACAAAAATAAATACAAACAAGTTAACATGGGGATGGAGGCTCACTGAGGAGATTCTGGCTGTTGATAAGAGGTCAGGGGTGTGGAGCTGCCTGCAGCTGTAGAACTTTACTTTGACCGAGTCACAGCTTCACCAGCCACACCGGGAAGCCAGCTCCTCATAAAGGATGCTGGCCCCCGTCTCATTTGCCATATGTACAACTCCAACCTTCAACTCCTTTGCTAGAAATAAAACACATATACTGTTCACAAGTGTAAGTCAGAGACCATTACAATATAATCTAAACAAGCATTCTGACTATTGAGTCCCAGGAGAATGTGGTTATTTTTAAAAGCTGCGTGAAGTACTGAGAGTATTAGCAAAGGCTTAAGCATCCTCATTCCCCGGACTTTGTTGCTTACTCTTCTGCAATGTGCTCTCAGAGTGTCTGGCTAATTGGCCTGAAGTTGGATACTGACATTCAGTGGTGGTCTCTGCTCTTGCCTTGTGCCCAGCTCCCAATTCACCACCGCAATCCAAGTACTTCTGTTCCATTGTGGTTTGGCAGAGCAGTGACGAAGAAAGGGAGCAAGAGACAGGACTGGTTGCTGAAGGCTCCAGAAATGAATGGTTAGAAAAATCACTGAACTAGGGGAAGCAGAGCTCTGGAGGTTCTGCCTCTGACAGATTTCTTTTCCGGGGAGTTGCTTTGCTGTGGTTTGGGAAGTGGACAAAGTGTTCTTGAGAGAAGCACTGGTGGATCCTCCAAATCTTAAGTGTAGTCCATGGTGTGGATAATAATAATAATAACAACAATAATAATAGCAACTACCATTTATTGAGCACTTGTTATGCACACCAGACACTGCACTAGGGCTCTCTGTGGAAGATATAATTTAATCCCCACAACATGCTGAGGCTTGGTGACTTTCGTGAGGTCGCACAGTTAGTGATTTGTGGAAGATCATTCGAAGCCAACTCTACCTGTTTCCAGAGTCTGCCTTCTAGCCACTTCACCATCCTGCTGTCCTGAAGGGACATGCTAGGAGTCTCAGCACTCATTGCTGGGGCTGGGTGGAGAGTAACAATGGGACCAAACAGTTCTGCAATGGATGAACAAAGGTGGTTAGAAGAACCTTGACTTTGGGGACAGATTGTGTGAAGGCCAACAGAGGCAGGTGTCAGGTCTAAGGATGAGTGGTTTCTTAAAGAGTTTTTTTTAAGTATTGATTAATTTGAGATATATATTTATTTTTCTACTTCTTTATGAATTTGTTGGTTAATTCTTGTATGTGCCCTGACCTGCAACTTTGGCATGAAACCTGCAACTTTGGCATATCGGGACGACGCTCTAACCAACTGATCTACCAGACCAGGGCCATGAGTGATTTCTTTACTCCCACTTACCCATTTCACAGGTGGCCTGAAAGGGTCTGGTATCATCAGTTATGTTGACATCTCTTTCCAGCTGCTTTTAGAGGGGCTGCCTAACTTAATAGGGTAAGATGTTGTGTTAAGATCTGGAGACTCAAAGAGGCATAAGACACAGTGTCAGTCCTCAATGCCCTTACAACCCTGCATGTGTTACCCAGCGCAACATAAATGCCAGACAATAGGAGCCTATGTCCGTAATGAGTGTTCTGAAGCTGGGGCAAGAATGTAGGGGCAAATTTCCACTGAGTGTGACAAGGGCATGGCAGCCATTTAAGAACACTGAGGGCCCTCAGGGGTGCTTATTTACCAGATTGTTCCATTTTCAGATGTGACAAAGATGGCCCAGGTTCACTTGGCATTTGTTACCTTATACACTCACAAACCTCAGATTCTTCTCCCCATCCTTCTTGACCCATTTGAGCCTTTTGAAGGCTGACACTGAAGTGGGTTTGACTTTCATTTATGTGGAATGATTATTCCCACTGAAAGTTGGCCCCACCGTTTGTTTTCTAAAGCCATTGGGAAGGCCTAGAACGAGATCTTAGGTGGTAAAGGGAAGATGTGAAGAGCTGCTGCTGTTTCTGCCTTGTTTCCTTCCATTTCTCCTTTCTGCCTCCGCTCCCTCACACCACATTCTGCCCTTTTACCCTCACATCTTAGGATGCTGTGTGGTGGCCACTGAAGAACATCATGCTGTTTTGGGGAGAATGTGAGGGAGATTGCTTCAGAAATGGGGTGATCCTGCTGGGTCACTCAGGAGGGCTTCTGAGAGCCAGCTTTGGCTTCTGTGGAGGAGAGGGCTCTGAAAACTGGCATTTATGACCCTGGGCACTGTGAGTGCCTTTCCACCTCATTCTTTTCCCAACTTAGATCTGGGAAGTGGGTTCCCCAGAAATAGAAGGAAAACAGGGATGTCTGAGGACATTGGGCCTGAACCCAAGGCCTCTCCCTGGGCCCTGGGATGGATAAGTGTGCTAATTCAATTCCATCTAGTGTGACGAGTATCTGTTGGGCATTTGTCCTGTGCTCTCCAGAAGCTGGTTGTCTGGTTAGAGAGAAAGACTTACGTCTATGGTACGATTTGAGGCTAACACAAGACTGTGTCGTGTAAGGTGCTCTATTATGGTGCAGTGGAGAACATGAAAGTATAGGTGACATCAGGGAGGCTGGAGTAGTAGGGGAACACAGCCCTGGAGCTGAGCCTTGAAGGCCAAGCAGAGTTGGTTATCTGAAGAAACATCATGAAGGAACTGAGGGGTGGGGGAGGGACAGCAAGGGAGCAAATCAAGCTGGAGAGTTTGGTCAGAGTTCCTGTTAGGCTCTCTTGATTAATTAATACCCTGACTATGTACCCTGACTGAGCAAGCGGGTGGAGCATCCAGTGGGTTTCCAAACATTGTAGGGGGATCTGGGTGGAAACACTTGAATGTGTTTTAGAAGTCAGGTAACCTGTCCTGTGTTACATACAATATGCACACGTGTATTCACAATCCCTGCTGGCACATTGAGGCAAGAATGTGGGCAGCCAATGATGCAGCCTGCACTAGAACACCCATTGTTGACTCCAGTCCCTTCTGGATCTTCTCACACAATGGGCTTATGCAGTTGCAAAGGAACTAGCCATACACTAAAACCAGTCTGCCCCATTACTAGTACTTGAAATTCCTTGACTTTCTCGGGAAAGTAAAGGTCAGAATGGGGGAGAAGAGGCTGGGAAAAGAGGGAGGAAGGTTGGCTTCTGCTTTTTCTAACACTTCAGTGCAGAAGGGATAAAGGCCCAGGGATGATGGCTGGGGAAAGAGGGAGCAAAATGGGCAGGCAGAGGAAAGAAATATCAGAACCTAGAAAACAATTGTAGACTTCAACCCACTGGGGTGTTATGGACATGGCTCCAGGTCCCCCAGCTGATGTTTTGTCTCCTGCCTTCACCTCTTTGGCTCTTTCCTCCTACCTAGGTTTTTTAATCCTACTGCAGATATTTCTATGGAAAGATAGCACTGCAGTGATAGCTCTTTAAGTTTGACTAGTGTGACAGAGGCATCTGGGATGCCTTTTCAAAATGCAAATTCCTGGACCACACTTCAGATCTGGGGAGCCAGGCATGGGAACTTGTAACTTAGACTTTTAATAAGCTCCTGGGTGATTTGTTGAAGTGAGGCCCCCTGCCCTGGTCTGCCCTGGTCTGTCTTGTCCAAGGCTTCTTCCCTACAGTTTTGCCCTGCAACCTTTTCCCTCTACCCTTTTCTCCCCCTCTCCCTTCACCTGAGTAGCTGTAGAAACTTAAGTAGTGAAGTCTTCTGTTTTATGTCACAGCTTCTCCTTAGTTTCTTTTCACCATCAGTCCCGGGGCAGTCTCAGGAACATTCTCCCGATATCCTGAAGCTGCTGGCACCTCAGCTTAGATTAAAGGAACAAGTAGAGTCATTGGCTACTGAAGGCGACAGCCATAATCTACCAAAGTTGTCACAGGTAAAACTCAACTCACCCAGCTCGTTTGTGACGCTTCGTTTGGCTGTTTTGTGGGCAAACCTGGGGAGTGAGCCCTACCTCTCTTACTTCAGTTCCTGAGAAATAAGAAATGGACTGGTTATGTTCTTTGCTGGAAGGTTATTTCTTCTTTTTTTAAAAAAAAAATATTTTATTGATTCAGAGAGGAAGAAACATCAATGATGAGAGAGAATTATTTATCGGCTGCCTCCTGCATGCCCTACACTGGGGATTGAGCCTGAAACCCTGGCATGTGCCCTGATCGGGAATCAAACTGTGACCTTCTGGTTCACAGGTTGATGCTCAACTACTGAGCCACGCCGGTTGGGCAGAAGGTTATTTCTTAATGATAAAAAACTGGATTTCAGGCATGGTCCCAGGGTTTATGATTTGTTACATTCATTTTTCAGTTCTTGGTCAAATCCAGATGAGAGAGATTTGACAGAACTGGAAAGGAATTGGTCAACTTCCACTGGAGCCATTCAATGAGGTGGCTTTATCAGCCTAGAGGTGGAGCCTGGGCTGATAAAGATCCTCCTTTCCTGCCCTGGCCGGTTTAGCTCAGTGGATGCAGTGTCGGCCTGCGGACTGAAGGGTCCCAGGTTCGATTCCATTCGGGGGCATGTGCCTGGGTTGTGGGCACATCCCTTGCAGGGAGTGTGCAGGAGGCAGCTGATCGATGTTTCTCTCTCATTGATGTTTCTGACGCTCTATCCCTCTCCCTCTCTGTAAAAAATCAATAAAATATATTTTTTTTAAAAAATCCTCCTTTCCTGCTTTTTGTTTGTTCAAGCTGCTGGGCTTTGACCACCAGCTGAGTTCCTTGTGTAAAGACAACTCCATTTGATCGCCAAGTGGAGGTAATTTCCTGCACCATGTCTTACACATAAGTAGATTTCCGGTACTTATTGGAGGCTGAGAAGAGGGAAGTGATTTGGGAAGGGTTAAGGTCCTTGGAGGAAGGTATATGTGCCTTTCTTTGAAAATAAGGGAACAGAACCGCGGAGAGATGGGTTCCAGACCCTGGCATTCCCATTCGCTGGCAAGTGGGCAGCAGCTGGGGTTCAGAAGTCCAGTTCTGAAGGCAGAGTTTAGTGCTGACTGCCTCGGCCCCTTGGGGTCGCAGTCTCCACTGCATTTGTGCCCTGTGTTCTTCCCTGTATGTAAGCCCTGGGATTTCCGTGTCTTCTTAGAGATTCTCTGGCAGGTAGAAATCTTACATTTCCCCACTTCTCTCCCTGCTCAGGAAAAGGAATAAAATTCAGGTGTGTCCAAGTAAAAAAGTGGGGGAGGTGGAGGAAGAATTGAAAGAGCATCTCCTGAAATCAGAGAACCCCTAGTACATTTCAATAATTGTTTGAGGTCATGATTACATGATTGAGAACACTAACACTGAACTTAAGTGCCTGGAGTGGCTTCTAATTGCTCCTCATTCCAAAATGAAGAAAGAAGAGCACCCCTGGTTTCCAGTGAGAGCTGACTGTGGAACAAGGGTGGGGTTTCCACTCAGACTTTGCTTTGCAAATCAGTGTACTCCTGTGTAGCCAAAGCCTGGGGCTCGTGGAAAGTTGAGGACATAGAATTAAATAACCCTGAATTCCCCAGGTTGGATACTGAGACAACCCAAATCCTTTTTCTCTTCACCTCATTGTTTTCTCCTAGCTGTATGGCTCTCATTTTTCATCTATCTACCAATGTTTTTGGTAGGGGTTGGAGGGGAAACAAGAACATGGGCATTTTGACTTATAGACTGTGGGTTTACAATAGAGAGGGATTCTCCAGGTATTATTGGACTTATTTCTAGGTCCATTTTTGAGTATTCCTCTCCTGGACAAACTCTCTCTTCCTTCCTTCCTTCCTTCCTTCCTTCCTTTATCTCTCTCTCTCTCTCTCTCTCTCTTTCTTTCTTTCTTTCTTTCAGACTAGAGACATTAGTGATCATTTTGCCAAATGATTTTGCCTCTTTTTCAAAATTCCGCACAAAGTCTAGTGAAGGGAATAATTGGACCCTAGTTCATTTGAGCAGCATAACCTACAGCTGGACCATGAGGTAACTGCAGGTCTGTGACACACCTGTGCCAGAGCCTTCCCAAAAGTCCTTCTGGAGCTGGGCTGTAGGGTGAGAGGAAGCACTGAGTGATAGGATCTACCCTCTCTGCATGCCTTGGTTTCCCTAATGTAGTAACTGGGGAATGGTCTGGATAGGAGAAGGGACTGGTGCTACATCTTACATTTCTCCCCTTCACCACTGTCCAAGGAGTCTCTCCCCTACATGCCTTTCTGTCCTTGCCTAGGGAAGTCCCCCAACTCTGCCCAAGCTGGGCATGCCTTTGTCACTGATGCTGTGTGGACAGAAGTGACTGCCCCTCCCCCATGAAGCCATGTGTCCACTCAGGACTGTGCAGTTCTCTCTCTGTCTTCTGTGGTGGGAATATCAGAGGACAGTATTGATCCCTAGTAGATTCTGACTATTGGCTCTTTATTCCGCCAGGAAAACGAGGAACTCCCCCATTGTTCTAGACAGGAGGAAGGAGCAGCCAGTGGGGACTGCAACATCCAGATGAATCCTGCGGAAGTAAAGGGGCATGGGCAGCAAGACACCATGAAAGACCAGGAAGAAGAGGAGGAGAAGGATTACCCTGCCTCTTCAGAAGCTGCCTCCAGCCAGACTGGCAAAAGCCAGGAAAAGAAAAGGAAACATTTTCAAGTTGAATCCAAAGACCCAGACGTTCCTACTAAAGTCTGTAAGCCAGGTACTGACTCTACCGAGGGCTAAAGGGGCTTGGAGGAGATGATGGGCTCCCCAATAAAATCAGGTTACTTGCTGTCCATATGAGGGTTCTTTAGGCTCCGGGTGTATGGCCCAGCTCTGGAACTTGGCTGTGGCACCTCAGGATTGCTGTGAAGTTTCTGTGAGAGCATGCATAGTTCCCAGCGTACTGCCAGTGCTCAAGAATAATTGTAATGGAAAGCCAAGCCATAAGGTCAAGCACAGTCTCAAGTAATGATATCCAATGCCCTTGATGGTGTCACTTCCTGCCAGGCCAGCCTCTCCCTACCCCCATCCCTATTCCAGGAACAGAGGGCCAGAGCTGTGCAATCAGGCCACACTCTGCTCATTCTCAGTTGTGTTTCTGTAGCCAGGCATCTGAGAAGCAGCAGCTGCAGCTCAATAGCTTTCCAAGAGAGGTGGGCAATGCCAAGAGTCGCTATCAGCTTTGAAGGCCTGGCTCAGTCCATGGAGTTGCCGCTGCTACTCCTGCTGCATGAGGTGCCTGTTGCATTTGAATGAAGTCCACCGGGCTTCTGGATATTCCCTGACTTGCACTTCTCTTTCTGTGAAACTCCTGGACATCTCAAGAGTCTACTTCAGGGTATCCCATTCTCAGTGGGTCAGGTGCCCAATAAATCAACCCCCCCGGAAGGGGTGAGAGTGGCAGACTGAAAAAGTAATTGGGTTTTTTGCCTCACAAGTTCTGTCTGTGAAACCAAGGTTGGTCCAGCTCTGACTTACTGTTTTCTAAATCACAGAATCTCCTGCTGATTTGGGGGACTTGCCTGCTGTCAGTATTCCACTCCCATCTTTTGACGCAACCGACCTTGAATGTGCCCTATGTATGAGGTATGTGATGTGTGTTGTCACTTACTGCCTGAAGGGTCTTCCTCTCTGGTGTGTGGATCTTTCTGCTAGTGACCTACTGCTTCATTGGTCAGCACATAAAAACATGGTTCTAGCGAAATGAAAATTACCTTGACACAGCCTGTCACACGGGCTAGCTGGTGTCTCCTGTTACAGATTGCATTCCTTATATTCCTGACTTGGAAATACTTACACAGTGGGAAGGAAACGATCTACTCAGAGGTCACAAACTGATGTCCCACAGGCTAAATGTCTTGTGTTTGGTCCTCACGGGATTTTTGTTGTTAAATTTGAATGTCTTGAGACAGGACACACACTTTCCAGTTGGTCATGGTCCCTCCCCTACTCACTGTCTTCTGTCTTACATTAGCCTGCATCTCACATTTGCATCACTTCCCTGGCCTTTGTAGGTATCTAGGTTTGCGACCCTAGGACTAATGTCAACTACTGAATCAAGATCTCAAAACTCAAGGGCTAATGTCAGTGCCATAGGTCTAGTCTATGGAAGCAAAGTAGAGGACCTGCCTAGTGTTTGTTTTGTGCCATGAAGAGGATTAATAGTGGATCTGTACTACTTAGCCAAGCATTTTTCCTTTACCCAGTGCCTTATCATCCCTACTTTCTCAGATCTCTGGAGAGGCAAATCATCCACATGCTTCCTCCCAAACCCCACACAAAAAGGGAAGTTGCTACAATCATAGTCTGTGTGGAAAAAAATACTTTATTTTATTTATTTATTTATTTATTTATTTTTAAATCCTCACCCCAGGATATTTTTCCATTGATTTTTAGAGAGAGTGGAAGAGAGAGGGAAAGTCAGAGAGAAATGTCATTGTGAGAGAGACACATTGATTGGTTGCCTCCTACATGAGGCCTGACCAGGGCCTGGGCTAGGGAGTAGCCTGCAACTGAGGTATGTGTCCTTGACTAGAATTGAACCTGGGACCCTTCAGTCCGCAGGCCGATGGTTTATCCACTGAGCAAAACCAGCCAGGAGAAAAAATTGCTTTCATTTGTTTCATTTCACAGCTGTGACTTTGTAGCTTGGAGAAACTCCAAAGCCAGATGGTCTGGATTTGAACCCTGACTCTGCCACTTGCTGGCTGTTTGACCTGGAGCAAGTGACTTTCTTTGACACTGTTTTCTCATCAGTAAAATGGAAGACAGTAGTCTTTACCCTATGGGGGGTATAATTAATTGAGAAAATCTACTTAAAACACTTAGAATGGTGCCTGATATATAAGTACCTAATAAATGTTAATTATTTTTTCTCCTAAACCAGTGATGGCGAACCTTTTGAGCTCGGCGTGTCAGCATTTTGAAAAACCCTAACTTAACTCTGGTGCTGTGTCACATATAGAAATTTTTTGATATTTGCAACCATAGTAAAACAAAGACTTATATTTTTGATATTTATTGTATATATTTAAATGCCATTTAACAAAGAAAAATCAACCAAAAAAATGAGTTCGCGTGTCACCTCTGACACGCGTGTCATAGGTTCGCCATCACTGTCCTAGACCATGAGGAGGTTCTTTTTTTTTTAAGTCCCACCAGTTTAATTACAATAAAAACCCCAAAAATGGAAAACAAGGGGTGGGGAAGAGGACCCTAAGCGAGGGGCACAGGGAACCCTGCTCATGGCAGCAGGCCTGGCTGCTGGGCCCCTTGGTATTGCTGTTGCTACAAGGGAGGTCAGGGGACAGTGATTGTCCTGTGGGAGCCACCATTCACCTGGGTTGAGGACCCTTACTTCTTCTGGTATGTGCTCAGCTTTTGCATGCCTCCAGTCTTGTCCAGCAGGCCAGAGATGAAGGCCTCAGTGGGTTTGTAACAGTCAAAGAGCAGCTCCTTGACCCTGGAAGCCTGGGTGTCATCACTCTCCATGTCCAGGAGTTCATCCACATCAATCTCCAGCCCCAGGATATCTTCCTGGCAGTCCTAGAGGCGAGTGAGCTGTTCCAGGATCCAGTCCTCCAGGTTGAGACGCTTCCATAACTCCTTGCAGTTGTACTTGATTGCAACCTTTCCTTGGCACTTCACTGGGCCATCATCCTTTGGCTGCCAGGGTCCCTCACTGCAGTACCAGGGGCACCTTGAAAGTAGATGCGAGGACTGTGGGCCACCACCTCCCAGACCAGGAGCTGGAGCATCAATCCTGCACCCTCCTCGGGACCACTGTTTGCCCTGGTGGCTGCCTCGGCCACTGTGCATGTCAGGCTTCCCCCCTGCCCCCCCACCTCCTCTGGGTCGCCTGCTGGGTGGCTGAGGGCTCTTGGCTTGGGTCAGCTGGGGGAGGGGAGTTGTGTCCAGAGTCAGCTGCAGCATGTGGAGCCCCAGGGCCTGGCTTGTCCATGTATACATTCTAGTAGATCTATGAATTCCCTAGCATTGTATGTAGAAGTATGTGTGTGTGTGTGTGTGTGTGTGTGTGTGTGTGTGTGTGTGTGTGTTTCCAGGACAAGGTCCACAGCTTTCAGTAGATTCTCAAATGTGTCTTTCTTCCAAAAAATCATTAAAAGGAGGCTAAGATATTTGCACAAAAGTTGTTTAGATGGCTGAGCCAAGAGAAGATATGTTAAGAAAAATATTTTGGTCCATCACACAGTGGGATCCAGCCAGCAGAGGATTCTCAAAGGTTGTCTTGTCCTTTACAAGCACATACACTTTCCATGTCAATCCCATGCATTTGTATTCAGAATGACTTTTCTTGTCACCTGAATAAAAATGACTAAGGCAGCCATTACCTTTCTTTCTCTTAAAAAAAATAGAGTTGGCAGATTTGCTCATAAGCTCAGGCAGACCTGATAACGAACAGTTCAATAGATGGAACATGAAACACCCAAGGAAAGCCTTCCATACAGTCAGGAGTTCGTTTGCTTTTACCATCTCCATCTCCTCAACAAGGTGGCAGGTGGGCCATGCCAGAGCCAAAGGGATAGAGAAACTCTGCTTTCCTGCAGAGAAATGGGCCTCCACAGGTAATACCACGGCGGCTGTAAGCCTGTGATATGAGTTGTGGACTTTCACATGTCTAACTTTGAGAGATTTGATTCAGTTTGCTCAGAAAGCCCCGCTCCTTCGTGTACTTATCACTCCTCCTGACATCCAGGGGATGCAAAATCAAACACACAGACTCATCCTGTTTGTGTTTTCCCTGAGGTTGAAGTTCTTTTGTTCCCTTTCCTCTTCTTTCTCCCTTTCATCTTGTTTGTCCCTGATCTCGACAGGGGGCTTCAGAGAAGGGTTAGAAATCTGGTCCAAGAAATAAACACCAAGAGGATAAGACCCCTTTTAGTTTGCTTGCTCCGACTTTAAAAGCCATTATTTCCCTTATCCTGCCACTCTGTTCTAAGTAAGACTTCAAAACAAAAAGCCATCTTTGCCTGGAGTAGCTATTGTATAGGCCGGGAAGTTATAGGGAGCCTCTCGCTGCTTTATGGCAAAAGGAAAGCTGCCAAGTCCAGAGAGCACTTCTGATCTCAAGGCTCATCAAACGGTAGCCCTTGGTCAGAAGCATGTAGTTCCTCTTACAAAAGGGTTTGTCTCAAAGTCAGAAATCAGATGTTGATAAGGGCTATTTCATATACAAGCTTTAGCTTGAGTTATTGTAGGCTTTTTAAATATATGTATTTTTATTGATTTCAGGGAGGAAGGGAGAAAGAGAGAGATAGAAACATCAATAATGAGAGAGAATCATGGATAGGATGCCTCCTGCACTGGGAAATCCCACTGGGGATTTAGCGCACAACCCAGGAATATGCCATGACTGGGAATCAAACCATGACCTCCTGGTTCATAGGTCATCGCTCAACCACCGAGCCACACCGGCCGGGTAAGTTATTGTAGTCTTGAGAAAGTTCCTGTTTTCACTTCCCTTTGGTGTTTTTCTTCTTTTTATTGTTAGGATTATTATTAGATTCTATTATGACCCTCATGTGTCTTTGGGTGAGAGGGTCTAAGGGTACAGTTATTTTTAAACAATCTGACAGGTCATAAACTAGACATTTGTATCTCCTATATGAGTTTCTAGAATGAACTCCAGTCCTGTGGTGCTACATTGGCAGAAAACAAATTTGAGTGCAGATTTATCTATTCTGATTCTAGGGAGAAAATGAAGAGCAGCTTGTAAATTCCATGGGAAAGGGTGGAAAGAGTAAACGGAACAATAATTGGCAGCTGCATTCATGAGGAACTTTCAGGGCTCCAGGGCTCCCTTGCTGGGTTGGGGGAACTCTGCTGATGGAGGTTTCTTCCTAATTCCAACATCTCAGAACTCTGCCCCTCAATTTATAGTGACTGAAAATCCTTCCTTGAGATTTGCCTGATATGGATATTCTAGCCTTTGGGGTCGCCACTGGGGCTGCTGTGCAGAAGCACCTTTGGTGTGACAAGATATTTTGAGATGTGGAGCAAGAATGTTTGATGTTTGAACCAGTTATCTAATGGCCTAGTGACCTCTTTATCAATTGAAACATAAAGCTTTATATTTAACCTAGATTTAACTACTCAACTACCTGGGTGTTAGGGAGCCAGTTTATGCTATTCTATTTTATTCTATTCTAATTTTCCTCTCCCTTTCTCTATCTCACCCCTCCTTCTCAGGTCGCTCTTTGCTCTCAATTTGATAGCAAAAGAACACAATACAAGGATGTAACTGGTTGGAAAAGATAGCTATTTTCAGATAAGCCAAACATTTTATCCAGGCTAAAATCTAACTGAAAACATTTATTATTACTATTGCTTAATCCCTCATGTGACAATGTAAAATGCTTTCTTGTGAAAAAATCTGGCCCTACTCTGATTTATAAATGTCTCCCTGAAGTGTTTTCTGAAATCATTATCAAAAGTGGTAAATAGCCCTGGCCAGTGTGGCTCAGATAATTGGTTCATCATCTCGTACGCCAAAAGGTCTCGGGTTAGATTCCTGGTCAGGGCACATACCCAGATTTCAGGTTCAATCCCCGGTCCAGGTTTGTTCA